GGTTCCTTCCAAGCCGGTACTGCCACAATTTTACCGGGTATTACTAAGTAACTTTACAACTAAGTAAGTTTCAGCAGTCTCCTGCATGTTTAAGTTTACACAATGATTTAGAGGTTATATATGCGGTAGTAGTATTCGGCAGCGGAGGGGACAGGGGGCACCATGCCGGTCCCACTCTTTGCGTCCCCCCTCCCTTCGTTGTTGTACATGTCCTTCGCAGATGTTTTTTGAACCTCTCCGGTCGCGAGTTCCTGCCCTTGGCTGCCCACCGAACTGTCGTTTTATGAGGTTTCGCGCTCGACCGAGTCTTGTGTGACTACCACGCACGTTCAACGTCTCGGCAACAAAATCAGCCGATGTACGAGGCATCATTTCGAGGCGACTGATCGGAGAAAACTTAAATTGATTTTTGAGGGTACTGTTTTCAGCCGAAGCCATCTGTCTGTTTGTTCGAAATAAGGCGAACCCCGTTTTCGGTTCAGTGGCCAGGCCGTTTTTCATATCGGTCTCGCTTCGCCGCTGTTTCCTGAAGCGGGTGTTTCATGGGAATGACAACTGTTTTAGTCCTTCTGACCATGAAAGTGCTTCTTAGAACATAGTTCAGTTCAGATAACGAAATTGCGACATTTCTGCCTCAATTTTCTGAAACTATTCTATTGCGATTGCGGTACAACCGGCTTCTATCTTTGTATATATGCTCGTTTGCAAAAATGCCAGTATATAGCCAACCTATATAAGTAGATATCAGTGCTTTCAAGCGGTCATTTGTGCCCAGACTCGACGATGCTATGGCGTATGTAGCGAAACGCGTTGGCAAGATAGCTTTCAACACATCCTGCGTTTGGTGCCCTTAACCATGAGTCGTTGAACCATCTGTGTATATGACTGAAGGTCCAGAATCAAAACCCTGAAGCCTTATTTATTTTTTTGTCTGATTTTTACCCACAGAATGGTAGTCGTTTATAAAACTCGAAAGAAGGAAATAGAGTTAATCACACTGGCGCTAGAGTCAGTTATCTCTGGGTTCCGATCCGGCGCTCTTCGGACTGAGTAACCCTGGTCTGAGACAATTGTTAACAGAGATCAGATTGCTTATGTTCATTCAATGTGGTTTCTGAAAACGTTTGAATAAGTTTTCCCGAGTACAAGACTCATATAAATAGTTAACTCACATATATATCCTAAAATCGTTGTTTCATTTTTTCGTTTCCTTTGGCTGAAAGGATTACAAGATAAATCGTTTGTGCGGCTAACTCGAGGAGGCGAGTTTTTCTTTGCTTTTCTTGGATGTGAAGTATAAGTTAACGGTGTCAGTTAATGGTAGCATCCAACCTCTCCCATCCTGTTCATCCGTGAGGAAGACCCGCTAGTTCATATTCACATATTATTTTTGTTCGGCAACACGTTATGCTGTTTACTGTATGTTATGATTTGCTTATAGAATATATAGCAGGGGCCAAGTTTAGGGTCTTGAGCGTTCGACATGCGCCTCATGTTGCATGGTGCCAACGGCAACTTCGGTTTAAGCCTATGCGAAATTGTCGTCTCTTGTTGTTCCCTATTAACGAGTTTTAATTGATATTCAGTTTATGTCACTTCCATGATCACCTGCGAATGCACAAACATAAATTACACGTCGACACGCAGTCATGGCGCGGAGAATAATAAACAGTCCATCTGTCTGTTTATGGCACGAGATTCGCAGTGTGCTTTGTGGATTGCATTTTTTGTTTACCT